ATGACTATATTTTTGGGTGTAACTTGACATGACCAACGTACGTTGACTGTGTCCTGATCGTTATCATGACCAGGGGAAATGACTATATACCTATTTATATGTAATAGCTAGGATTTGCTTCAAATTCATAGAAACATTAAGATTGAATCATTCATTTTATCAAATAAAAAAAAACTATAAAAAAAAACTCGACCTGACCAATGTTCTAAATATTCGATTTGTCCAGAGTAATCTAATTATCAGCTTACTGTAATTAGATTACGGGCTTCATCAATATCAATCAGGGAGCTACCATTTGTTATCCTGACTTTTTTTTACATAAATTGTCATCCTGCCTTTTTTTTTTTGCAAAGTTACTCATCCTGTCTTATTTTTTTGCAAAGTTGCTCATCCTGCCTTTTTTTTTGCAAATAGATCATTAAATATCGATTTTCAAATATTAATAATTGCCCATTACTATTACAGAAATGTACTTATAAAAGAATACAAACTGAATGTTAAATGTATAGATCACAATAAATCATTTGATAAACAGGTTTAACTCTTCCTTCTTTACACTGTTTGCAGATGTGTGTCAATCTTAACTACAATGCTTGAGCAAACATTTATAGAAACAAAGCGAGCAAACCAACCAAAGTCTTAATCTACAAGCATTAGGAAATTAGATCTAAAGTTCATGTTAAACTTCGAGTTAGAGTAAAAGTTCGGGTAAAAGTTAAAATTTCGAGATGGGCAAATAAAACTTAGAGTAAGATAGCAGTTTCTATTTTCAAGAATTTTTCGTGAAATTTTCGAAAGGCAGTGGCTACGGTAAAATAGGCGCGTAGGTTTTACCGGCTCCGGCAAAATAGCACCAAGGATTATTATTTCAGATTTTTGTACAGGCCAAATGAAATTATTATTTTTATTGAAATCATTGACGTTCGAAAATGGAAGACTACACTTCGTTGTCAAAAATAATTGAAATAAACGATGACTCATATGAAGAGCTAAAGCAGGTTTTGGAGCACTTTGAAAAGGACAACTATGTGCAACTGTGGAAACGTGATTCAAGGACTATACAATTTATGAAAACTAGAGCACCTAATAAAACCTTTAATAACGATATAGTCTATATTGCAATAAAGTACTGCTGTGTTCATGGCACAAAGACCATAAATCAAGTTCATCCGTTGTTTCATCATTACATGTACACGAATCTTCGTTTTTATCTTGCAACCGTATAGGTACATTTATGAATTGCGGCACGCATTTGAGATGAAAAGCAGTACAGAAACTTATATTGTCAAAACTGGCGAAATTGTCCACCATTCAACATCTTTCAATCGATTTAAACCAAACTTGGTAGATTCTACATGATATTACAAACCTAAAATAACAAATAAAGCATAATTGTTTTATTCTCACAAAGCAACAAAGCATACACAAACTATTCTAAAAACCCTATCCAACAAGTGGTTTGTGCAGTCCATGTTTGTAGTGGCAGCATTTTTCTTGTTCAAAACTCAAAAATACACCAAAAGCAAAGCCCTGCATGGTTGTGTAACAGGCTTGTAAAGCATTTTGAAGTCGTTGAGTTTTACTTTTAATTTCAAAACTCGTGGGATATTTTTATCATAATTTTTAATTAGAATATCAATTTTAACATACATGCCTTGCTAAAATATAATATTTTAAAAAAGACATATGTTTTGTATGTAAAGTAACTTTTAATTTCAAAACTTATGGAATATTTTTATTAAAATGTCAATCTAAGTATGCATGCTTTTCTTATAGATATAAGAAGATGTGGTATGAGTGCCAAGGAGACAACTCTCCATCCAAGTCACAATTTGTAAAAGTAACTTGTGACCATTATAGGTCAAAGTACGGCCTTCAACACGGAGCCTTGACTCACACCGAACAGCAAGCTTTAAAGGGCCCCAAAATGACTAGTGTAAAACCATTCAAACAGGGACACCAACGGTCTAATGCCGCCAAATAAAATAACGTATACAGGTAAATAAAAAAAATTTGTTGTAAGGTATACATGGAGTACGGAAATAATTTTTACAAAATAAATAATTATGTTGTTCCTAGTACGAGAACAAAAGTGAAAATTTATCGTCATACTAAACACTTATCAAAGATGGTAGACTAGATATAACACTGAATAAGTAAACATTAAATAACAAAAATACATTACAAATTGTATCAACAGGTCAAATTAACACGAAAGTACGATTTGAGAGTATTCGCAGTTACTGAAAGCTAGTTAAAAGCCAAAAACAATTAATAATAAAAATCATGCATCAGAGACTAAAATCAACTAAAACACATCCCAGGAGTCGGTTTCACAAAAAAAAACTTACGACTAAGATTGGTCGTAAGTCATGAACAATTCAGTGTACCTAGGATCAATCTTAGTCGTAAGTTTGTTGTGAAACCGACTCCAGGGATTTAGTGTTTTAACGTCATGGACAGTCAAAGAAGACATGACTTGTGCAATGCCAAAATAAACGTATCGACAGGCAGTAGGATAGTCTAGTAGGAGTTAACCTGTTAATAAATATGTATAATGTAATTTATAGATAGAGTAATCTCTATGTAGAAAAAAAATCGTGGATGTGTATTTATACATCCCAAAAAATCGTTTGAAAAGAATACAAATTTAGTTATGTTTTAATCTGCCGATGACAAAATCTATATTTGTGCCAATGTAAACTATATTCAAAGATCTAATTACAACATTGGTAAGATAACCTTTACTAATAAGTTTGTTTAAAGGTTCGATAAGTTTACACGGATCACATTATGATGTCCGCGCTTTTAGTACAATATTACCGTGAAATTTAGGATGTGAAATACCGTTTTTAATAAGTTTTCTACAGGTACAGCCAAATTTACTAGCAATTTATGGTAACGAAATCCCTGACTTAATAATTTACCAGTGATGCATTGATTACGTTCGTTAAAATCTATGACATTACTACACACACAGGCATAACGAACGAGTTGGGATATATAAATACCGTATGATGGAGCCAAAGGAACATCGCCGTCTAAAAAGGGAAAATTAACAATAGGGAATGAAAAATCGTCTCTTTTGTCGTAAATTTTAGTATGGAGTTTCCCTTTTTGAAATTGAAATGTCTAAACCTAGAAAAGGACAACTATTGCTGTTTATGTTGATTTATTTAAAGTAAGTTCCTTTGGGTAAATTTCGGTAGTATATTTAGAGAACTCTGGATTATTTAACGAAAAAATATCATCAAGATAACGGTAGGTATTGTTGAATGTATCAACCAAATGTAACAATGACGTGTCTTTACTGAGTTTGGTCATAAACTGAGATTCATAGCAATACAGGAATAAATCAGCTATTAAAGGGGCACAGTTAGTGCCCATAGGAATACCTACTACCTGTCGATACATTTTATCCCCGAAACGTACTCATATGTTGTCCAGGAGAAAATTTAAAGCTTCAATCATATCTTCACATTTCCAGTAAGTGTATCTAGCATACTTTCCTTTGTCGTTACAGAAAAAGGCTTTAAACGAGTTACAACAAATAAATTTGCAATGAGATTTTTTAAAAGACTATTTAAATAAATTTGAAAACTTTTTCTTGATAAGATTGTGTGGAAGTGTAGTGTAGAGAGTGGAAAAATCATAACTGTCAACAGAATTAAAAGGACTATCAAAAGCACGTATTTTATCTAAAACCTCTAATGAATTTTTAACACTCCAAAAATAATTAATACCATTATTTTCATAAGTTTTATTACAAAAGTTAATAACAAGATCTTTGATAGTAGTAAGGGAGGTAGTTAGAAGCACTGACAGAATAGTAGTAGAACACTTACTAGATGCGGAGATGAAACGGAATTTAAGTATACATGTTATACGCTTTTTAAAGAAGACGTTTTTTTTTTAGAGATTTCTTATTAACATGTTAAAGTGTATGTCGCTACATTTCTTTCTATTCGTAATTAGTATACTGAAAAATCTGAATTAAGAACGACAAAATAGCAAAACTCTATACAAATTGCTATTTTGCCGGAGCCGGCAAAGTAGCACTAAGGAGGCTATTTTGTCGGAGCCGGTAAAATAGAACCTAAGAACTGCCTTTTCGAAATGACCGCGTGACCGTATGTTTCTAATCATTACAACATGTACAATATAAACAATCTAAAAAAAGACACTTTCTGTGACGGTAACTGTTACTTGATCAGTATTCACAGGCACTTGTCTCTGAACAAAAAAGGCTGGACAGGAGTTTTGAGTGAAAAAAAAATGCAAGATGATCGATGAGCAACTTGGCAAAAAAAAATAAAAAAATGCAGGATTACAATTTATGTAAAAAAAGTCAGGATAAACTAATAAAAAAAAGGCAGGACAGAGATTACAACTAAAAAAAAGATGCAGGACACAATTTTTCATCAATTTATTTGGTGGATTTAATCATACCGTGGGCATCTTCTTATTTTTATATTATATTAAAGTATATTTAGATAAACAAAAATTCAGAGACAAGTGCCTGTGTCATTATTGATGCAAATGTGGACAATAATTCAAAACATTTACGACCTAATCTGTTACCAAACATTTTTATTAAAAAAGTATTTAATAAAAAATGAATGATATACATTATTTTTTTAAAGGCTTTAGCAGTTCATAGTTATTTTTTAAAATAACCCTGTCGGAGAACAATCTTGCAAGAACATTAATCTATATTTTGTATGAAAAAAACGAATATAAATTACATTCGCTTTACTGTTTGATTAAGGATTAAGACTAGCAAGTAAAAACACCCTATTTCTTTTTCAGTCTTTAAATGTCAGGTAAAATAATAATTTGTTAAATTTCTTGTATTCTTAAACGTCAATATAAATTCCTTTGTTCTAAAAATAGAGTTTTTGTACTGATTGTCACATGATCAATAATTTCATCATGTGCCTTTGACTGTACTGTGGCATTCTGAGTTTATCTGAAAAATATCAACATTCACATGTGTAAGACTCTAAGAAGTGTCAATTATGCATTTTTAAAAGAACTTACTTCATAGGACTAGTATACAAATGCATACATTTCAAGATGACATCTAAGAATTTAGAAAATTGAAACATTTCCAAATTATTGATGTAAACAGTACAACTAGTATTGAGGATGAAGTATACATAATTGACTGGTATTTCAGATGTTTATGAAATTTTGTATGCATTTTAGAATTTCAAGTTAAATCTTTCTTTTCACTGTTTCTATATCTGCATAATCAAACAACTAAAACCTTCAAAGAGTTTTGATCTTGATATGGTACAGTGACATGATCCACCGGACATTAGGTTTTTGCATTGTGCATCAGTGTCATGTAGCGATTAATCCAAAAACCTGTCCTCACCCTAATGATATCTGCAAAATGATCTGACAATCTGTTGAAGATTCTATCTTGTTAAAAATGTCTGGTGGTATTAAGTTCCAGTTTTTGCTTGCCTTGACGAAGTCAAAAAGCGAGACATAGGTATGCTGTTTCAGGAGGCGTCGGCAGCATCAACAATGTTTTAGTTTGTGATTAGCATGATTAGGTCTAGTTTATGGTGAACCATAAGTGGTAGGTCAATGGTATTTGGTATACAGTTGTATTAGCATTGGCACATCTCATTTCCATGGAGATTATTTGGCCCTGTCCCCTCAGTCATTGTCTATTGACTTTGAAACTTTTGCTTAGTTTACATGTATTTTAGTTTGTGATTAGGTCAGTTTATGGGGAAGCATTGGTGGGTCAATGATATTTGGTATGCAGTCGTATAAGCATTGGCATATATCTCATTTCCATGGAGATTATTTGGCTCCGCCCCCTTAGTCATGGTCTATTGACTTTGAAAATTTTGCTTAGTTTACATGTATTATTTTGTGATTAGGTCAGTTCAAGGGGAACCATTAGTGGTAGGCCAATGTTAATTGGTATTCAGTTGTACATACATGTGATGGACTGTGAAACTCAGATCAGGAGATTGGGAAATTTTGGTCAGGAGATTAGGACTCAAATCAGGAGGTTTTTTATCGACATAAATTTTGTCATAAATGTAACTGTGTGATGTACTAAATTGTCTTTTCAAGTGTATTTTCTTCAACTTTCCATCCGAATGTAATATGTTTTTGTACCCTTGTACTATTATATTTTCTTTATCTTTATTCAACCTCTCATTCTTTTTTTTTTTTGGTAAGAATTTTTAAATTTCATTTTGTAACTTTTGTTTGATCTTTCTTCAATAAAACATTAACTGCTAAAAGATCATTTTTTTTTATTATATTTACAGGAGATTGGGTCTTTTTTGCATGTAGATTTTTTTTTTATCTTTATTATTAATTTTTGCAAATAGATTTTTTTTTTTTTTTATCTTTATTATAATCACACTTCTATATACATAGCACAGGTTACAATTACAATTACACATATATCAAACATTGATATCAATTACTGTCATTTTTTCTGAAAAGAAAAACATACGAATTGCTCATTTACTCTGACTTATTTTTTTTTTTTATCTTTATTCTCTGACTTATCATTCTTTCATGCAAATGCAACATAAACAATTATCAACAAATGGAAGTTTTTAACGACCTTGACTGGCTATACAGCCCTTGCACGGTCAGTAATCTATTACAACACAAATGGAAGTTTTTAACGACCTTGACTGGATATACATCCTTTCGCACGGTCGGCTTGGTGCCCGAAGGCGTTTGGTTAGCGTTTAAATAATTTTGTGCCATCGGTCAGGAACAGGTGGAGGACTCCATTTTGGTAGGCCGCCATCTTGGTTTTGTGAGTTGTTTTGGTTTTTCTTTTGTTGACTATTTTGATGTTTTGTCTTCACAACGGCTGCTTTCAGGGCCAGATTGGTCAGCTTGGCAGCCCGCTATCCTCGATGATGGAGAACTGGTAGATGAGTCTCGGACGTAGTATTAACGATGACAGGAAGCATTATCAGGACCAAAGTCTTGAGACAGTGAAATGGTGGTAAACAATTATCAACAACAATTGGAAGTTTTTAATGACCTTGACAGAGGTCATACTTGTAATATAAATTTCAATTTAAGCCTTGAAAAAAAGAATAGAACCCTAAAATAATTTCCAAATTATTATTTTTTTTATTTGTCCTTAGACATTTAAAATCATTTAATTATCATCTTTTTATGATTATTTGTTCAATTTATATTTCATTTATATTCTTTTAACAATTTACGTTATTTAAAGGAAAATAATTTAAACAGCATAAAACCAAGGGAAGTAACCCAAAATTTATTTCAATTATTTTTAAATACACAAAGTTTTTATTACACAACGGCAGTTAGTCTGAGGTAAAAACCATTGATTACCAGTATGTTTGACACCCAAGCTGGCAAGTGAAGCCATATAATTATGCATGTTCTTTGATTTACAGGTAAAATTTAACTTCAGGTAATGTCAGTTACACCGGATATGGCGGCTGAAAGTTTTCATTCTTGAAATATTTCATACACAGGATTTTCTTCTCTTCAATGGGAGGATGGGAGGAGTCCCCTGAAAACGGGATTATTGTACTCCCGTCGGGAGGTTCACATGTATGGTTGTATAAGCATTAGCACATCTCATTTCCATGGAGAATATTTGGCCCCGCCCCTCAGTTATGGTCTATTGACTTTGAAACTTTTGCTTAGTTTACATGTATTAGTTTGTGATTAGATCAGTTTAAGATGAACTGCTAATGTTAATTAATTAAGTCAATGATATTTGGTATGCAAACTTTTACATAGTTTACAAGTTAATGTTTGTGTTTAGGTTTGTTTAAAGAGAACGACTTATGATAATTCAATGGTATTTGGTTTGCAGTGCATTGGCATATGCTAGATATACTTACTGGAGGTGTGATGAGATGATTGAAGCTGTTAATTTTCTCCTTGATAATATCTATGTACATTTCTGCAGCAAAGTTTATCAACAGGTTGTAGGTATGCCTATGGGCACTAATTGCGCCCCTTTAATAGCAGACTTGTTTTTGTACTGTTATGAATCACAGTTTATGACCAAACTCAGTAAAGACCCGTTTAAACTGCATTTAATTGATAAATTCAACAACACTTACCGTTATCTTGATGATATTTTTTCGTTAAATAATCAAGAATTTTCTCAATATACAGCCGAAATTTACTCAAAGGAACTTACTTTAAATAAATCAAATTTAAACAGTAACAACAGTCCTTTCCTAGATTTAGATATTTCGTTTTTACACGGGAAATACACACTAAAATTTACGACAAAAGGGACGATTTTTCGTTCCCTATTGTTAATTTTCCCTTTTTGGATGGTGATGTTCCTTTGGCACCATCTTACGGTGTTTATATTTCACAACTTGTTGGCTATGCCCGTGTCTGTTGTGACGTTTTTTATTTCAACGAACGTAATCTATGTATTACTGGTAAATTATTAAGCCAGGGATTTCGTTACCACAAATTAATTAAAACCTTTACTAAATTCTTCCACAGATATAAAGATTTGGTTATGAAGTTTGGTTGCACCTGTAGAAAACTTATTTCAAATAGGATTGCACATCCTCATTTTTACGGCAATATTGTTTACTGTGCCCGGAAATTTAGAAAGGATCCTGGTAAACTTATCGATCCTTTAAACATGTTAAATAAACTTATTCTAAAAGGTTTCCAATTCAACACTGAAATTAGATCATTAAATATTGTTTTTATTGGTACTAATATTGATTTTGTTATCAGTAAATTAAAAGCAAACTAAATATTATTGTTATATACATATACACATTCATGGATCTACAATCTGTCGATACCTGTATCTTGGTATTGCACAAGGTCATGTTTTTCTCTGACTGTTTATGACGTCTTTACACTAAATCCATTGGATGTTGGATGTATTTATCATGTTTATTAGTTGTTAGTGGCTTTGAACTAGCTGTCAGTAACTGTGAGTACTCTCAGATCTGTACTTAGTGTCTTTTTGTTGTTTGGATGTACAAGTACCCGGCCACGTCCACTTGTATTTGTAGTATTTGTATTTTTATCCATCTGATGAGTTAAGCCTCTTTCAAATGATTTTTAAAGTTCGTTCTTATGTTGTACTGCTACACCACTGTCCCAGGTAAGGGGGAGGGTTGGGATCCCGCTAACATGTTTAACCCCGCCACATTCTGTATGTATGTGCCTGTCCCAAGTCAGGAGCCCGTAATTCAGTGGTTGTTGTTTGTTTATGTGTTACATATTTGTTATTCGTTCATTTTTTGTACATAAATTAGGCTGTTAGTTTCCTCGTTTGAATTGTTTTACATTGTCATTTCGGGGCCTTTTATAGCTGTCTGTGCGGTATGGGCTTTGTTCATTGTTGAAGGCTGTACAGTGACTTATAGTTGTTAATTTCTGTGTCATTTGGTCTCTTGTGGAGAGTTGTCTCATTGGCAATCATACCACATCTTCTTTTTTATACATCTCATTTCCATGGAGTTTGTTTAGCCATGTACCTTCAGTCATGGTTAATTGACTTTGAATATTTGCATAACTTATATGTTAAAGTATTGCTATTTTAATTTCAACATTTGCATTATCAAAATTACAAAAAGGCGAGACATATCTCTGTGATAACAGTTTATTTTACAGTATTCTGGATAAGCCAAATTTGAGTGAGTCTGTTCTGGTTGGAGGTCTGAGGAAATTATAATTATGCATGGATTTGGTGATTCTTCCAGGTGTTTTCAAATGCTCTGTTGGTAAATAGGCTTGATTTGTTTAGTCCTTTGGGCAAAAGTGGTAGCCTACTCTGTGTTTTTTCTATGTTTTTGTGCTTGACTTTCAGTGTCTTATTTAAATGATTCATGTCATAGTTCTTAAATGAGATGGTAAACATTACTAATTTGATTAAAAAATTATATATCCAATAAGACTTCCCATTATGAAATACATATACAAGAAAATAAAAGCATCATATATCTTTATTTAGCGCAAACACACTGATGTAAATATTTATTGCTGTTAGAGTGAAATCGACACAGAGGGTGTCAAGAAATATAAGTTCCTCATACTATATTAAAGTTCCAAAAGGAAGAATTGTTATGAAAATGGAATATTATTTCCACTGGAACAAATATTATAGTAGTTGTTCCTAACGGAATAAAGGTTATAGAATATTTGTTCCAACAGGATCAGATATTATGGCATTGTTTATAACAAAGTTTCAAGGTGAACTTTTGTTGTGAGCCATAAAAGTGTCCTGTGAAGGTATATTTAAATGTGTCTGATGTAGTGAAAAAGTGTCTACCTATTCAATCAGACATAATTCCATAATGAAATACTATTAAATTCTGTCCTGTAAAGGTTGATTTTCAATAAGAGGACACTTTTTCACAGTAAAAAAGTGTCCTTTAAAGGGAGATAATAAAAAAGTAACTGAAATGTTTTAGCTATGCCGTTATTTAATTTTTTTATAAATAAAACAAACCAATTGAGAAGTTCAACCAGTTATAATTTGATATAGACATAGAAAGCCAAATGTAGGAAGAACAGATTACAATATTTATGAGTACTCATTGATTCTTGAATATTACATAATTTTGTAAATTGAAATGGATTACAGGTATTATTATTAACATAGTTCATATTAAGTTCTATTAAATGTATTACTGTTTTTGTGTGTATTAGTACATGTTTTATTGAATAATTTATGTTTCATTACACATGGTGATGATCACATTTTGTATGAATTCAATACTCCAGTTTACATGCCATGTTTTATTAGAGAAAAAAACCCCATGCTAATTTTAAAACTTCAATTTAGATAAAGAACTGAAGCTATGTATACATTTTGTAGGTATTGAGAGTGGACACTTTTTCATATGAAATATTGTCCTTTCTTTGTCAGAGGGACACTTTTTCACATCTGTGGACACGATTTCATAAGTAAATATCGTCCGGACGATATTTCATAATAACTGTGTGTTGTTGAACTTGTTGTTGTTGTTGTTGTTGTTGTTGAGAAGTGCTTACAGTATTTCTTGTTGATCATATAAATTCATTCAAAGTATAAAGACAAGCTCACAGGGTGATAGGTGTATCATGTGCTCATGGGGCAGATCTTTATTCATGTTGTAAAGCTTTTGTTTACCATTGATCAGTTGAAGCATTCCATTCTCATAAAGATACACAAAATAAAAAGTTACACATTGATCAAAATTGTTTGTTACATATTACTTTCAAATGATCAAATGAATGTGGGAAAAAGTGGAGAAATCTTAAAAATTTGTATCTTAATTTCATATACATGTACATATTTTGAAGACTTCGTTTGAGATCACGGAAACAAAAAAATCATGGCATGCTGGGAAGAAAAACTAATTATAAAAAATCACTAATTCACTCCTCATGATACCTGATAATCAGATATCCAATAACACATCTATACTTTTACAGATCAGTAAATCATAGAATGACACAAGTTCTTTTCTGCCTGTTATTCTCATTAGTTGTGTTGGAAGTAGGAGATGCCTTAGATAATGGTCTAGCTCTAACACCACCCATGGGATGGATGCACTGGGAAAGATTCAGATGTATAACAGATTGTAAAACAGATCCTAAGAATTGTCTCAGGTAAGCAGAGTTCTCAAAGAAAATAGAACTTGTAGGTAGCTCATTTTAGATATAAATTCTATGATTTATTTATTGAACCAGGGACTTTCATTATGACAGATAGACATGTTTACAAAAAATGGATAACAGGAGATACTTAAAATTGTTAAAGTGGAAAGTATAACAGACCACACTAACCACCAGCACCCATCCATCTGAGTGAAAAAAAGAAGCAAAAAGACAAACAACAATGAGCAATACATGGTCCTGACAGCCTGACATGGAACAGGAACAGAATGTGTTAGGTTTTTACTAGTTTTATGTGTTAGGGAGCTACCATTTGATTTTTATGGGGGGGGGGGGGGGGGGGGGGGGGGGGGGGGGGGGGGGGGGGGGGGGGCTAGGATGAAATTTGAAAAAAAAGGCAGGACAGGAGTTTTGAGTAAAAAAAAAAGGCAGGATGAGCAACTTGGCAAAAAAAAAAAGGCAGGATGACAATTTATGTAAAAAAAGTCAGGATAAACTAAAAAAAAAAAAGGCAGGACCAAATAGAGTGAAAAATAAAAAGACAGGACAGAGATTACAACTAAAAAAAAATGCAGGACAACATTTTTCATCCTAGCCCCCCCCCCCCCCCATAAAAATCAAATGGTAGCTCCCTTACTAAATTTCCCCTTTGCCTATCTAGACCATAAATTGTAAGAGTAAAACACAAGTTAAAAACTTGCACAGTACAATCACCATCAGGATGACCACCAACTTGAACAAGGAAATGATAGATGGCAAATAATTTGGAAAGTAGGGTCAAAATTTACATGATGATATTTTTAAAAGGTTACTAGCTACAGCTGCTGACTGAATAGTGTAGCTTAAAAAAAAACTTAAAATCAGAAACAATGCTTAGGTAAAGAACTAGCTATCATTATAATAGGGAAGGTAACAAATGTATACAATAACACTTTTAAACTTTAAAAAATGTGCTTCATTTAAAAAAGAAAAAAAACGTTGTTGTTGAAATATATGAAATTTCTAACTTTGTTTGTCAGTGAAAACTTGATAATGAGACAAGCTGATAGAATGGCATCTGATGGTTATTGTGATGCTGGTTATATTTATCTCTCCATTGATGACTGTTGGATGGCTAAGGAGCGTGATTCAAATGGAAGGTTACAAGCAGATCCCATTAGGTTTCCAAGAGGAATTAAGTTTTTGGCTGATTATGTGAGTATTTATATTTGTATTTAACCTTTTTTCCATTCAAAAATAGTAATTTTGTTTTTGACAAGAATTTGATCAATATGATGATACTTTTTTTCTGATTTTGATAATAGTTCAAATTTGAAAATAGTTTTTCTTTGACATTGCCCCTTGAAAGATTTGCAAAGTTTGGAAAGACTCTTGTATGTTCAAACAAAATGTAGATTTTAGTTTGCAACAAAACATTTAGACAAAAGTATGTCTTCCACGACATTTTCTTGTAATGCATATTAACACTTAAAGCATTGAACTGTTCAAATATTGAAAAAGAGTATACTATAATCAGCAAACTTCAGGTACACTTGGGATTGATTTTTATATGTTGAATGAATGTAAATATTATGTTGTTTAAAAAATTTTGCCATGTCATCTTTAGACAGAATATGGTTCAGTTTTATGGAAAATGGTGTTTTTGGCAAATATCTTTTTATAAAATTTTCAAAATGTGAAAAATTTGTTACTTTTACATTTATGAAAGATGGTATATTTACTTTTTCATGTGATCTGAATAAATAATCTGACAAAATTTTATGTTTGTGCTGTGTCTTGGTTTTTGTTTTGTGTGTGTATATATTGAAATACAAAAACACACATTTCTGGCTAACACATCAGAATGGCAGTGCTAGATTTATTGTATGATTATTGCACAGATCTAAATTTCAAAATGAATATGTATGGCTGCCATTGATAGCACAGATTCAGAGTATGCCCTTATAGGATATAATACAAATAGCAAAATTAGGAAAAGGCTTTACAGAGTCTATAAATACATCATTTTGTGCTAGGTGTTTTATGATCCTAAATTCAAATGTAAAAATGCTCCATTTTAATACCTTACCTAGAGTCCCTCAACTCTAGCATTAGTTTCGAAATAATTTTGTCCTAGAAATAATTTTGTCCTAGATGTCTTGAATGGAATATGGAGTCTCTTAGACAATTTGGTGGCATTTTTTTACACTAAAAAAAGTAGTGGTTAAATTTAGGTGTGTTAATTTTAACTCTTTGTGTTAATACCATATCTCATTTTCGTCATTTTTAAATTTGTTGTTCAATTAGTTTTGATTACTGGTCATGCTGGTTAATATGTAAAATAAATACAACACAATACAAAAGCATTAAACAAAAACATTTGTATGATAGATAGTAGAAAGGATTTAATCCAAAACAATCAAGATTATAAAAATTGCAATAACATGACAAGAGAACTGATGGTAGATCAATTAAAGTTGATATTTTTATGGTTGTGGCGCTAATCTATTGATCTTGTAATCAAGTAAGACATACAGTGCATGGTCTAAAGTATTCCTCGCCTACCTTTTTTAAGCTATATTTTTCATATAAAGCATATTTTTTCCAAAAATTATATTGAAGACATTTGTTGTTGGATTTTTACAAAACAGATTTTAAAAGACGCAAAATTGTCTAAAATATATATTATTTGTTTATTTGGTCATATTTTTGTCATCAATCATTTTTGTTTTCTCTTGATATGAACAGGTATAATATTTTTAGCGGGTTATTTAAAAGTGTGCACCACATTTTTTAGGTTAATATTTCGAATAGACAGAAAAAATATTACAGTCATTCCATATAATTTAATTCTAAAAAGGAGTAAATCATGATAAAAATGTTGATGACGTCACGGTCACATGACAAAATTATGCCTGATGTTTTATGCTGATAGACAAAACACTTTCAGCCAATCAGAAAAATTGTTACATCCAAAATTAAATTATTTGAATTTGGTTAAAATATATTGCAAATTTCTGAACAAAAAATAATACTTGTGTTTATATAATCAGAAAATGAAAACACTTAATATAAAAAATATAACCAAAATAAACAAATAAATTTGTAACATTTTCGCATCTTTTGGTACCAAGTTGATAAAACCTGACCAGAAATGACCCCACAATATTTTTTGAAAAAAATGCATTTTTGTATGAAATATATTGTGAAAAATCACAAGTGAGGAATACTTATGGCCATGCACTGTAGTAAGAATAACTAGTAATTCATACATTTTATCTATTTAGCTTCACAATAAAGGTTTAAAGCTTGGTATATATGAAGATTTTGGTACAAGGACCTGTATGGGATACCCTGGAAGTGAGTTCTACTTACAACTGGATGCAGAAACATTTGCCAGCTGGGGAGTTGATCTTTTGAAGCTTGATGGCTGTAATGCTGACAGGAAAGATATGAAAGATGGTAGGTTACAACAAAGATAAACTGTAACATGAGGAAAGTTTATGTGCTCCTGCCATTCAGTGTCGGCTACAAACAGTATTACCCATGTCCATCAATCCTTCATCTGTTATTTACAAATTCCAACAATTGACTATTTTCTATTATACCTGTGGATAGAGTTGAATTTTGAAAAATTGTACTTGTCCCTACATTATTTCATTAATCCCTGAAGATCTGGAACTGTTTTTTGAAACATTAGTGAATAATGATAAATTTCAGATCAAGTTTGTTTTGTTCCGTTTGAAAGACTTTTACTTGAATCATAACCCTTAGACAAAAAAAAATTCATGAAAATTGTACTTGTACGAGCATTGTTTTTAAAGGGGCATTAGCTGTCAAATTCATGTTCACCTGTTTTACTCAAATTCTCATATTTGATTTGTACCATACTTACCGGTAAACGTATATCCAAATTACCAAAAGTCTAAAATAAACAATTAACAATGCATGGACTAGATAAAATGAATCAACATTTTGTGTGTATTTTAGTCTAGATGCCATCTAATTAACCATCGAAAAGACCTCCAAAGACTGCCGACGGTCATATAACCCGATTGAAACATAAATATAAATAGTAACCACGTGCAACTGAATTTTTCTAGGTCTGTTTGATTTCATATTATAGTTAAAAAAATATGTTAATCATCGTTTTTACCTGTATAAGAATATTTTTTTGTGGATGGAATCAGTCAACCAAATGGTTCATCCTATTTCACTTTCAATGTAGAAATTCTTTTCCTTTTAATAGCTGAACACACCTAGTACATGCGTAACCCATCTCTAACTCATTAGTTAATGGGTTAAATTGACGTTCACATGAATATGGATTCAATGAGATTAAATTATTGACTTGCAAGTCAATAATACATCAGTGATGTTTTTGATCTTATTTTGACAAGTTTGGACCAAACTGACTGCTTATAACATAAAATTATTTCAAAATTCTGCTTTTATTAATACAAATGTACTTGAAACAAGAACAATTGTATTTTAAATTTTGTCTAAATCGTAGCTAATGCCCCTTTAATGCATGCAAATCTTGAGCTGATTTTTGTTACTTTGAATTCAGAAATTATTTTGTGCATTTATTATTGTGATTTTTGAAGAATGGATATAAATGCGAGATTAATTATTGCGATTTCAGAAAAATATGCATACAGATATATGTATCAGATACCAGAATGCGAGTTCATATTATTGATTGATTGATTGATGTTTGCTTTACGCCGCCTTAGCGCAAAAAGGCTATATCGTGGCGAGAGCTTATTCATATTATTCATATAATTCCATATTATTGCGATACTCACCCAGTTGCATTATTTGAAATAATAAAAAACTTAACAATAATTTCTGAATTTACAGTACATAAGAGTATAATGATGATTCACATTTAGAGTTTGGATTTTCTTCCAGGTGGCAGAGTTTTGGCAGAATTTAAGTTTGAATTTTATTTCAGGTTATCAGCTTTTGTTGTTCCAGTTAATTTCTTAGTTTTGCAATATTAAACACTCAATAAACCCATTAACATAGTGTGTCCATTGTATGTCCCTGGTATATATTTGTTGAAATTGGAGGTAGACTTTTTCAACAAATTGTCAGCATTCCTATGGGAACGAACTGTGCGCCACTCCTTGCTGACCTCTTCTTATTATCATATGAGTCGGAGTTCCTTCAGACACTTGTCAAGAATAAGAAGATCAAAGAAGCCAGATCATTTAATTTCACATTCAGATATATTGATGATGTTCTTTCCATTAACAATCCAAACTTTTCTGATTGGGTTCAATTAATATATCCTCCAGAACTAGAAATTAAAGAAACAACAGACACAGCATCCTCCGCCTCATTTTTAGACATATATACCTAGAATTTGACATAAGCGGTCATCTCAGTACCATAATCTATGAAAAACGAGACGATTTTAATTTTGAAATTATCAATTTTCCCCCACCTTAGTAGCAATATACCGTAAATTGGGAAATTTTGGCGTCGGGATATTTTGGCGGTTTTCTCTCGAAAGGCATGTGTTTTATTTTGGTGTGTGTAATTTTGGTGCTTCGTCCAATTGTTATTTTTAATTTTGTTACAACAGTAGTGAGCAAGCTCATTCATATTTGTCTTTATTTACCCGTTTATTGACAACATATCATTGAATTTATCAAACGAGAAACACGACTAAGTTAACCTAATGAAGGAATCGGAATTGGATACGGATGCAATTGCAAATAATTCTGTATATCGTGGTTCAAAGCTTAAAGAAGTTATGAAATCAAATCTTAAACATTAAAATCACCTTTTAAATAGATTGTTTATTTTTAACAAATATCATATGAAATAAATTTTAATCATCTCTATTGCAGTACATGTTAATCTATTGACGATCAAGGATTTAAATTTTAATCCTTATGCCCCTGGCAGTACAAAAGTCATGTTAATTAAGTGAAGATAAAGGATTACAAGGAGTTTCGATATTCTAATTACCAATAACGGTGTCTAATCAGCAATAGCCTGGCATATTTATGACATGTGTGAATAAAAATTCATGGTATATTTTCTTAACAATTTCAGAAAATTGACAATTAAGTAAAAATTATATAGTGTTGTTGTCAAATTATACCAGGTATTTATTTGCAGATTTGGCTATGTATAGAATTGTACGAAATATACGGAAGATATAATAACATCAAATATTTTCCCTAACAATTAACATTACGATATTGTCGTACCGGTACGTGATTTTGGCGTTTCAATTTTTAGTGTTTGCTTTATTTTCGTGTGTTTAATTTTGGCACTTTCATTGGAGGCACCAAATAAACCAAAATAAAACTACCACCAAAATAACCCAATTTACGGTATTAACTTCACCTGCATATGGGATATACATTTTCCAACTCATTCGGTATTCATGAGGTTGCACTGCTACCCAGACTTTATAAAACGTCACCAGTGGCTGAGCAGAAAGTTGACGAACCAGGGTTATGTCAAAGAATGTCTCGTCCTTTTCCTTTTGGCATGGCGTGGCTTGGTACTTATGCATCCCGCCAATGTGTTGTTGTGCTGTGGTCGTTTTTTTTATTCTTGTCTTTCATTTTAGCTTATGTGCTATGTCTATATGCCATTCTGTTTTTCTTTGTTGACATATTTGTTTGTTTTTATAGTGATTAAGATTATAACACAATGTTGACTGCTGTACCCCTATTTTTGACAATTTACCTATTATGGCTGTTTGTTTGTTCACACATTGTTGTCAATCTAATGGAATTTTATGCGACTGTCATACAAGTGAGAGGTATAACTAGCTATAAAACCAGGTTTAATCCACTATTTTCTACATAAGGAAATGCCTGTACCAAGTCAGGAATATGACAGCTGTTTTCCGTTCGTTTGATGTGTTTGAGCTTTGATTTTGCCATTGTATAAGGGACTTTCTGATTTGAATTTTCCTTGGAGTTCGGTATTTTTTATTATTTTACTTTTTACCTTTCAAAGAAATTCTCAGGAATATTTAATTTTCAAATAATAAGACTATAGGTGGGGGCATTCCTATGATATGTCTAGTTTTTAGGATGACTTACTTTTATGCACTTACCAGCCTTGGACTTTATTATATTTATCTGGACTTTTGTCACTCTGCTTGTAGATTTTGAGCTGGTACATGTATTTTGTTCATAAGTGTATAATTGTGATTTATGGATCAAGCTTCATTCAAGATGTCATACTTTTCAAGAAATGAAAAATATATTTTTATAGGTTATGAAGCAATGGGATTTTTCCTGAACAAGACAGGTCATCCTATTTTATATTTATGTAGCTGGGCAGCATATGTTTCTCCATACAAAGATCTGGTAAGATTTCATTGCAACTTTGATCATTCATATATGCATAGAACTATTTGTAAAGTTTGTGATTGAGTCATTTAAATTACACATTATTTTCAACATTATCATATTTAATCATGATAATTCAAATTAAAAAGCAGACAAGATTTACCTCAAATAAGAAATGAATAAGTGCCAACCTGGCCTTGTAAGGTAATAGTGATTTTTAAACTGGAGCAGATTGTTACCTCAAGAAAAAACTTTGTCAAACAAGGCCAATGCCACAGTTGACAATGTTTTTCTTGTGTATTAATTTTCTCTATCACCCTCTCAGCTATGTTTTACTTAATTTGTTATATTTAATGTTCTATAATTATGGTCTTTTAATTATTGAGAGGGAACATTAGAAAATTATTACTCAATGAGCCATGTGTTAAAGTAGAATATTACCCTTGTATTAACCAATGAAAAAATTGCATTTTACATGTAAAAGTATAAAAATGTTCAAATGTTAACCCATTAATAAGTAAAAAAATATCAAATATGTTGACTGCAAAAAATGTTTTAGATTTTTAGTTTGTAGGAAAATACAAATTTTTTAAATGCCTTTACATTACTTTGAAAAGGGAACTGATCTTTGATGAAAAATATTGGATTTCAGACTGATTATCCAGCATTTAAGAAGTATTGCAACCAGTGGCGTAACTATAGAGATATACAAGACTCATGGGATGTTATGTATGACATCATAGATTACTATGGCAACAATACTTACAATTTGTCAGCCTATGCAGGATCTGGACATTGGAATGACCCTGATGAGGTATATCATTGTTAAAGATTCTTATTGACTTAAAAATTAAAACAGTTTTTTCCTTTCACAGAACTAGAGCTGGTTCATGGCAAATTGGAGCTTTTCTTATTCCTTAGTGAGGTATTCATGATGGTTTTGGCTCCTAATAAGTTCAATGTTTAGTATATGTAGTGTTCTAATATGAAATTATGTTTTATTGAAAGTATATTCATGATTTGGCCTAACTCCTGCAAGGCTTAATAATTCTTCAAAATAAGCCTGAATCCATACTATGATTATGTCTATCAAATTGACACCTTCCAAACAAGTGACACTGAAATTAATTTCTTTGACAGTGTGGTCAAAATATTGTTACTGTATGCCTAGATAAACCAGAAAACATCACCAAGAAATACAACCATATTACTACTAAAACAACAAAATGATAACTTCAATTTCTTTTATTACTATTTGAACATTAACTGAAGAATTGTACACTATCTTTTATTTTGAACAATTTAATAAAGGTCATGGGATATAGCCAATCTTATTTGTTTAATAATAACAAACCACAATTATTGTATGAACTTTAATGAACACACATTATGTTAAATTGTCCTGATGATTTCGAACTAGCAGCAAGACAAGTTGACTAAATAAAGCATCTACGATGCAGTAACTAGGATGTTCTTGTCTTTCTATAGTTTATGTTTTCTTGAAAATAATCAGTTTTATAAAGAGCTATTAAAATAATTCTTAGATATTAAAAGTGTTATTGCTAACTTTTATGTTTGAAAAAGTAGTGACAAACCATATTTTTCCTTCTCTGTTTGTTTCTCTGTAGCTAATAATAGGTGGATATGGCTTGAGTTTTAATCAAGAGAAATTACACATGGGAATGTGGGCTATGATGGCATCTCCTCTATTTATGTCTGTTGATTTGGAAACCATTCGACCCTCATCTAAAGGATTACTATTGAATAAAATGCTATTAGAGATCAATCAGGACCCTCTTGGAGTTCAAGGTCAGAGAATATGGAAGGTAAGTCTTGTGTTAAAGCACAGAGGGTCACCTCTAATTGCACTGCGTAACAAAATTTATTCAAAGAGTAGATATGATCTTGGAAATTGAGTGAAAATCTAATTAAGATTATATAATAACTATACATACAGATTTCTTTTGGGTTGAGAGAGAGAGAAAGGTGAAGTGACTTGTTTCAGGGTTATTATTTGTAATTTTGCACTTTAAGTTAGTTTTGAGAGTAAGCAAGACTTAATGCATTATGTTTTACTCATTGTAAATTCATTCAGATCATAAGGCAAAGAAATTAAATCTTATAACATTTGTTATGAGAAAGGGACCTACAAATAATAAAAAGATGTAATCTTAGTAAATTTATCATTTTAAAAATGTAATTGGCATTTGCTGCTGTTCACTTTTCCCTGTATGACTGTCGGAAAATTCTGGAGTGTGGTAACCCCTTTTAAAAAGTATAAATGCCAACTTTGTAATGATGTATAGAATGAAGGTAAGGAATTTTGTCTGACCTGGACATCATTTTGTGATTCATTGATCAACATCAACTGTTACTCTTAATGATTAGATTTGTTTCTCAGTAATTTATTTAATCCTATTGTAAGATAAGAGATACGGAAATTGAATTATGAATATTATGAATTTTACACTTCTTAACATATGTATAAGAGGGGTCCGACAACTTACAGAAAAGAACAGAAAAGGACCAAAAAGAACCGAAAAGGACCAAAAAGATTCATTAACATTTCTCCCAACTACGTCCTGTGATATGGCTCTGTGTGGTAGTTTGGAGATACTAAGGGTGGATAATATGATTGAAGTGGCTTGTTTATAACAGCACTCAAACCATACATATGCTGCATGTCCGAATATGCTCCTATAACTACAGCATTCATGACAAGCTGTTGATATTAACTACACGGTTATCCCTAATCCGATTGTACCCTTTGGAAGTGGTATCATATTGCTGTTTTTTGCTTATTTTTTCTAATGCAGTCAGGAGTCTCATATGGTAATGGAAAAATTTGCCTTCCAAATAGTCTAGTTGATACAGAGCGATAAAGACAGTTTCCGTCGCCTATAGTTTCTTACCATCTGACATCGTTTCGAAAATCTACATTTCTGTGTAAAGTGGTTTATTAGAAAAAATTAATAGGAGTCAGCAGGCCATTAACTTTTTCACGCCCTTTTATCTTTACATTAATTTTAGAGTAAACAATTATCAATTGGCAAGAGCGAGTGCACTTTTCATTTATTTTTTTCCTGAAAGACGAAATGACTGTGTTGTGCACAAAATTTATAATATATAAATAATAATGTGATTTTGTTTATTAATTAATCTTCTAATTATGTGCTTTCATCATTTTTGTAATTTTGAAAACAAGTAAGAAAACAAGCCTTTTTATTAATCTTAAGGTAATGATTAACATGTCATTGTGGCACCTTAACAAATTTATTTGAATTTAACATCCGAGAGGAAGTGGTTATGCTGACTTGTGTATTCTTTAATATTACCATACCCAATGTCACCAGGCAATATGCTGACATCTTTATATAAACAAAGTAAATACTTTTTTTTTAAATGTTAGGATAAACATTAATAGTACGATAGTATTTGCTTTTTTTTTAAATTTTTGTTGATATAATTGAGTCTATTTACAGCAAAATCTATCAAGATGTTTCTATCTATAAAATATGATATGCATTAATGAACAAATATTTTAATAATAAAGATTTAAATCCTGGATAAAAAATATAAATGATAATTTATTATACATATATATAAAAAAAAATAATACTGAAAACAGAGACATATATATGCTAAAAACCAAGTTATACTGTCGCTTTTTTTTGGTGTCCACATATCCCTATAAAATGTACAATCTAAGTTAGAATTATGCCATCATTTATTATGAGGGATTGTTAACAATATCAAAATTTTGTGTATATATATATATATATAAAATAAATATATGTATGCTCTTTTCGGCTCCTTTTTGGTTCTATTCTGTTCTCTTTGGTCCTCTTCGGTCCTTTTCTGTAAATCGTCGCTCTTTTCTGTAAATCATTGACCGTACAAGGGTATATAAATTAACACATTAGCCTTAAAGGAAGAAGATTACAATATTTGAGTTGATTTATGTATTTTTTAACATAGATACACAAAGTCAAAATTATGTAGCATACAAATTTTACATTGAAGTCAACTTTGCCAATCCTACAGCAGACAAGCTTGATAAATAGTCAGTCTTGTCATTATTCTTAACTTTTTTTAAATGCCTAATGCATTAGCTTTCTGTGAACATTTTCGGGGGATTTTTCTGATATGATATATTATCACTCCTTGTTTCTGTAATATGTGATATTGTAGTCTTAAATTTCTCTCTTTCTGTTTTTCTCAAGTATTTAACATATTGAAACTTCAAATATGTGAATGCATTTCATTTCAGTTTAGACAGTTTGAAATTTGGCAGCGTCCTCTACATAAAGCACACTCCTATGCTATAGCTGTTATAAACAGTGACAATGAAGGTGTACCAAGGACAATAAAGTTGTCATTATCTGAGTTTGGTGTGAATGGTGCCCCGGCCTTCAATGTTACTGATGTATTTGATGGTACCAGCCATGGTGTGGCACATGTAAATGATTCATTTATATATGAAGTGAATCCAACAGGGATATATATGGTTAGACTGGATCCAGTCATGTCATGGAAAAGATGAAAAGAAAAGAAAATATGTAATGAATGTGTGGTGTAAAGAGATTAACTTTAATTTTATGTTAGAAACTGTTGAGGGTTAAATGTTTCAGGTATTGTTTTGTTGTATTGCATGTGACGAAAGTCCCAGAATGCGATACGTAGGGATTACTATTTGCTGGTGGGGGTGGTGGCAAAAACTGTTTGTATAAAGCTTTATATTTCAGAAGGTAGAAGACCTTGATGCTTCGTACCTTTATACAGATGCCTCATATTACAATGTTTCTTCCTGTCATATTTCCATTGTCCTTGATCTCATTTTCATGGTTCAGAGACTGCTTGAAAAAAAATTACATTTTTTTGTCATGCAAAATACTCACTTATTATGAGTAATAGGATAACTAGATTTGGTATATGGTTCCTTGCAAAGTTAAAATGACCTTCAGAAAGGGTTCACCAGACCTCGACCTCATTTCATGGATTACTGTAAATTCAGAAATTATTGCGTGCATTTAGTATTGAGATTTTTGAAAAAAAAACAATAATGCGAGATTAATTAATGCGATTTCAGGAAAATCTGGATAGAGATATATGTATTGGATATCAGAATGCAATTTTTTATTATTGCGATACTCACCTAGTCACATTATTGGCATTAATAATTTGTGAACAGTACTATGTCAGTAGCTATGTCAGTAGCTATGTCAGTACTATGTCAGTAGCTATGTCAGTACTATGTCAGTACTATGTCAGTAGCTATGTCAGTAGCTATGTCAGTACTATGTCAGTAGCTATGTCAGTACTATGTCAGTACTATGTCAGTAGCTATGTCAGTAGCTATCAATGTTAAGTGGTTAAGTCTGTATCTTAAATCCTGTAAGCAATAAGTCAACTATATTTGGTGTATGGAATGATTGTAAACATGTTTGACTGGCAGGTTTCTTCTGACCTTGATCTCATTTTCATGGTTCATTAGACAATGTTAAGTTTTCATGCAAGCATTGGTTATGTTTGATTCTCTGATACTGTAAGTAATAGTTCAACTATAATTGGTATATGAAATGATTGTAAGGTGTACATATCTGTTTAGCAGGGTTCTTCTGACCTTGACAACATTTTTATGGTTCATTGGTCAATGTATATTTTGCAATTAAGTCTGTTTCTCTGATACTATAAGCAAGAGGATAACATTATTGGGTGTACGATATGATTGTAAGGTGTATATGTCTGTCTTGCAGGGTTTATCTGACCTTGACCTCATTTACATTAATCATTGATAATATTAAGTGTGATACTTGTAGTAAAACCTTTATATTACACACTTTCGACATAAATTCAATCATGATAAGAAAAGCAGGCCAGACATTTCAGCGTGTGCACTCTTGTGTAATTATTTATTTTGCAGTTCTACTTAGATTATGTATAATACTCATATTAGATTGATCCAGATCATATTTGTAAGAGCATAGAAAATAATGTGTATATTGATCATCTGAATAAAAGCATGCATTATTTGTGGCTAGGTTCATGTTGCTCAAGTTTAAGTTAATAAGTTATGTTTTGTTATCTTGTTTTTTTGTTGTTTTTTTTTCTGGTCACAGTGTTGTCAGTTCTTCTGATCACAGTATTTTCAGTTCTTCTAGTCACAGTGTTGTCAGTTCGTCTGGTCACATTGTTGTCAGTTTTTCTTCCTCTTATGATTTTGATAGCCCCTTTGTCTCTTTCTAATTTTTACAGTCATTGATTGAGCTTTGAAAATTTGATGCAAATTGTACTCATACAGACTTTTATTTTTATTTTTGGGGAGGGAGGTTGAGTTTTTTTTTATATAAATATTTTGGATATGTCTATATATTTAGATCTGAATTTTTACATTTTAATGATGTTTAAATTTCCACATGTTTTCTTATTGTACCATGCTTTTCACTATGAATTAAACATCTAATTGATAAGATTTTATTTCAATGTTTAAAAATGTTTTCATTTCCATTTTGTCTTAAAGGATACCAGGAGTTATCTTTCCTTTATCTTTTTCATCTTTTAGTGTAGCAATTTAGAGACTTTTCTCAAACTTTTGTAGATACTTTTTCTAATTATTTAGCAATTTTGACATTATTCTTGTACAGAGTTTACCTTTATCTCCAGATTCCTTGAACCATACTCAGAATTTTTACATTATGACTTTCTTTGATTTTATAATTTATCATAAAACATTTCCCTAATTGTGCAATAAGTCAGTAATATTCAGTGAATACCATTACACATAGGGGAGACAATTCACATTTTATGAAAAGAGAGAATAAGTTCTAAATAGAGGTAATCATGATAATAATGGTTTACTTTAATTTTTTTTATTCAGTTTAGTTAGGTTCTCAAAATTTTGTATGGTATGCTAAAGAAAAACAGGTGGTAGGCCAATTTTGCCTGAATTTATTTCACACAAGTGCCATTTTCTAAAAGTCTTTCAATCTTCACTGAAATTCACAGTTTCACAGATTTTTGTTTGTGTCTTACAAAATTTTGGTGTAATTTGGAACATTTGACCCAATTATAAATTGTAAAACTGCATTTTTTTTTAGATTATGAATATCTATCCAAAAAATAAATACAAACAGTTTTAACTAGCCAAAATGACTTAAGAAGTAAGCATATACCGTTATATTGTTTTTTCAGATATAATGTAATTTTTTATGGTTTATGATTGCTTTTGGAATAATTTTTGGAAAACTTGTAAATTTTGCAATAAATTTGTCACTTTTATGATGAGTAACATTTTGATTTAATGGATATATATATATATAAAATTGGTGAAAAATATACAGATGTTACTAGAAGTTGCTACAATTAAAACAAAGGGCTGACATGTACAAAATTTTTATTAAGGCTACCCCATGTGGTATGATTGCCAATGAGACAACTCTCCACCAGAGACTAAATGACGTAGAAGTTAACAACTATATACACCCACAATATGCCCTTCAACAATGAGTAAAACCCATACCGCATAGTAAGCTATAAATGGCCCTGAAATGACAAATGTAAAAATATTCAAAGAAGAAACGTAACAGACTGATTAATGTACAAAAATAAAGGCAACAGTAGTATACCGCTGTTCAAAATAATAAAAAAAAAAAAAAACAAATATGATAAACAGCATCAAACGACCACCCATGTTAGTATTAAGATGATTTAAATTTTTAGTATGGTTATGGTTATATAATGGGGTATTGCAATTTGAATATTATTGCTTTTGATTGTCTACCACAAATACAGCAAATAATAGACACTTATGTCTATTTGTAATCAGTATATGTAACATGCCCTTTATGGGCTGATAATTGGTTTAATAAAGTATTCATATTCATATTTGTATTCTTAGACACTGTCATTAGAATACAATATATATATAGATTAACCCCTAATAAAGTGCATTTTCATTATTACTTCTCTTTAGTTCTTAATGTTCTTTTTTATTACTGAAATATAGTTATTGTATTATACAATTAAAATATTATCATGTATATTTTCATTAAAGAATTATCTACATTGGAAGTGATGGAAGGTAAGACATAGGTATTACTTCAAAGTTGGAAACACCTCATAGATAATTGCAATAATATGTCTTTCTTTTGCATTACTTCACCCGTATATTGTTTTAGATGTGTTGTTTTTGAAGTAGACAAGGATGTAATGTTGTTAGTCCTTATCTAATTTTAAACTCATTTCATGTTTATCTGCCTTCTAAGGGTTTTTAATTAGGTCTTTTTGTCCCTCGCTTAATGCGTTGCAGTGGACATAGAAATACCGTGCGTCCGTCCATCTGTGTGTCTGTTGGTCCGGTCTTGTTAGCGCTCTCAGGTGTACAGTTCTTGCCAGATTTTTATGAAACTTATATCATAGGTTTATATCACCAATGTATTGGAAGAGTTCGAAAATCAGTGCGAATCAATTATTTTGAAAAGAGTTATGCCCCTTAGAAACATTAATTATATGGAAAATTGCATCGTTAGCACTCTCATGTTTACAATTCTTGCCCGAATTTTATGAAATCTATATTATAGGTTTATATATATCATCAATGTTTTTGATGAGCTCGAAAATCAGTGCCGATCAATTATTTTTAAAAGAATTATGTCCCTTGGAAATATTGATTATATGGAAAATTGCATTGTTAGCACTCATGTGTACAATTCTTGCCAGAATTTTATGAAAGTTTTATCATAGGTTTATATCAGCAGTGTCTTTGACACTTTAAAAAATAAGTGCTGATCAAATATTTTTAACGAGTTATGCCCCTTGGAAAAATTAATTATAATGGAAAAATGGAAATCACATTGCATTTGCTCTGAAGCATTCATTTCTCTAAGATATTTATAAATTGTTTTAAAGAACAAAAAAAAAGTACTTTTTTTAGTTATTGTCCTTGGATAGATAAAATATGTGCAACATGGGGGACATTGGAACTCTGTTCTTTCTTTTATTTAACTTAGGAATCTTATATTTAATGTTGAAATCAGGCTTCATGCATACTCCAAGTATCCTCATCATGAAAGTTTTTTGCTATGACATTATAAATATGCATTGAAAAGACAAACCTATCAACAAAAAAACAAATATAACAGACACCTTTCAACCACAACCAGTTTAACATGTTTGAAAGTGTTCAACCCTTCCCTAACCTGAGGCAATGGTGTTACAGTACAGCATAAGAACAAACTGTAAAAATCAGCTGAAAACAGATTAGATCATCAGATCCGCATGAAGCACAAAAAACAACTAATATAAAGACAGAAAGTACGGATTCTAAGAGTAATCTATACAGAAAGCTAATTTTATACCAAAAACAACTAATAAATAAATCATACTACAGATTTAGTATGAAGACGGCATAAACAGTCTAAGAAAAGCACAAATGCCAACAATAACAACTTGTTAGCTTTAAATTTGTTTTATGAATTTATTTTCAATCGTTCATTATCAATTCTTTGTCTGTTGAAACCTTTCAGATTTCTTTTTTGTTTTGAAAGGGAAGTAACTCCTTACTAACCCCATATTTTTTAGGACACCCTATATCAAATATATGTAGTCACCACGTGTAGTCCTTTAACCAATCATATCCCCAGAAATCTGTAGGAGGTAAGATAAAAGTACATCAACTGGATGTAGGATCGTAGGTTTTGATAATGAAAAGCAATATATGTTTAGTTATGTTTTAATTTATCAAAAACAAGATCAATGTTAGTACCAATAAAAACCATATTCAAAGATTTAATTTCTGTGCTAAGTTTATTCAAAGGATCAATCAGTTTGCAGGGATTGTATTTACATTCACCTTCTTTATAAACAACATGATCATACAAATTAAGATGTGATGTCCCATTTTTTATAGAGTTCTACAGGTACAGTCAGACTTCAAAACCAAATCTTTCTAACTATGAAAGAATTTAGAAAAAGATTTAAGCAATTTGTGGTAAAGAAATTCCAGGCTAAATACTTTACC